GGACATCACGGTAATTAACATTACAGGTACACGGTGATGGAGCGAGGACATCACGGTAATTAACACTACAAGTACGTGTACTTTAGTAGTTATAGTGTACTCATATTGTCAGGTTCTCAGTTTATCGGTCAAATCTTAAAACCATATATCACTAAAGAATAGGCTAGTTATCATTTTGTCAAGTCGCATTTATGTATTGAGTAAGATCCAAATGCATGTACCAGACACATTCATAAATTTGAATTAAAAAGAGACATTTTTTAGTATCTATCTATATGACACGGTAAACAGCTTCCTAGTGAATATTCGCCTGTCAGGCTGAACGAAAACGAAACAGAACAGGTCTGAAAGATCCGGAAATATATAGTATAATATATAGTACAAAGAAGATACATAATTACCCAGACGACAAATAAAAAGATCCGGAATTTATTAAAATAAACGTTATAAAGTCTGCATATAAAATTAGGTCCGGAGACTCTTGGAAAAGATTGTATTCATTATCATTAACAAAGCAAACAAACACTGCACGATCCGGAGTGTAGAAAATATATTCAGCCATAGAACAGGTTGGACATGCATGGTCTGGTTATATGGAATACATTCAGAAGCCGGATTATATTTGCACCTAATGAGTATCGGCACCTATGCGTATTATTGAGCACAGTTAAAATACCACACTGTGGTACTCAACTTTTACATAATAAAAATACAGCTTAAAGTTGGTCAACTTACATCAATGGCATACATTTGATGAGAGATTGCATTTTCTAAACATTTATAGGCAAATTATTGTCCTATGTAAATCGTTAAGTATTCTAATTCTAATTCTCACTCGAAACAACGTGCTCAGTAGTTTTTATTACATCATTTTGACTTTACAAAACGTCATATGCAAATCCTTTCTTTGTATTTCAATCATCAAATCAGTTTCCTATCATATCTAGTAGAATATGAGGCTGATTACGCATAAACATTTAATGTTAAAGAAATTTCCAATCGTTTGGTTTTTCTATCACGTATTAATAACCTTGTCATCATCTCAACATATGTCCATAACTGTTACAATTGTATCTTATATTTTGAGGCGAGCCATCATTGTAGTATAAGGTGGCTACACTAATGAAAGTCATAAGGGAGACCCGTCAATACTATTCAGAGTATTAGAGGCGAAAGCACAGATCAGTAGGGGAAGTCAGCTTCCCGATAAACATAAGTCGGCCAGGGTATGGATCGAATCAAGCACGAGGGATTTTCACCTGGCGCTGCGTTATTCCGATATTTTACTAAACGTGCTATCGTGGTAGCTCTTCTTAATTTTGAATTATGTAATATTTACCCCGAAAATGATAAATATTGTTTTCCCTTTGGGATTGTGATATCTATGTTTCGCCAAAGGCTTGCTACCAAGAAAAGTTCTTATAGCCATTTCATAAATCACGTATGAAATGATAACATGTAGGATCCGATATAAATGGCCTGAATAACATACAGTTTTTAAGAAATGTATGTATATGTAGGAGCAGACATGAAAATTCAGTAGGTCAATCTACGTAAGATTCCAATGAATTAAATTACGCGAAAGCGAAGCGGAACACGTTAAAGGTTAGAATCTTAATTCAAATGTACATAATTGATACTGTTACGTGGAATTACCTTTACTATGTAAAATAGATTTTCTATCCGGGCTAACGACGATAATATTGGAATTAGGATACCTATCAAGTTCAGATCAAATGAATTATGAGAGACGTTAAAAACGGCAGAATAAACGACTGGTGACTCATGGCATGGATGATTCAGAGAAGAGGACTATGGATGTCGAGGGATTAATTCATGGACGTCATGTTGTATCCTAGTAATTAAGAAGTAAAACGTCCTCAACCAACCTAGTTTAAGGTCATTTTCGTTTTTCAATTTTTAAATACGAAATACGGACGGAAAATCAAGACAAAATCTAGCTGAAATATTTTAAAGCCACTAACTCCTGCAGATACCAATTACAGCAAGAAAATACCAACATGTCAACATAATCATAATCCAAACTCAAAGTCAAAATATGAACAAAGGGAATATTTACATGAAGTCTCCAGAAAAAAGTACAAGGAAAGCAAGGCCATGTGTTCCGGAAGAGTAAGCGCCTTCTGCTTCATGATATCCGCCATGTAAACCTTGGTCAGTCCAAGTAGGTTCTGATTGTCACGTTCTCAAATGAGAACAAGGTACGAAACAACGGAACCAACATCCAATGCTATAAACCGAATTTAGTGCACATCTCATGAAAAAAACACATCTTGTTCGACGGGAAATCACAAACAGACCACAGAAAGAAAGACTAAAGACCATATGCCCCCTTATCTTCGATATAGGAGGATTAAAACAAACACAAATATAACCCAAAGCTCAACTGAAATCGCAATACGATGTATACATACATTTTATATTTGCCCGAATTTATTAACTTCTTCAATAACTTACAGTAGAATATTGCTGTCATATCGATTTAAGTATCAAAAATAACGTAGCATACATCCTTAACCCTAAAACCATGGACAGGTACCTTGAATTTCGACCTTCTAGTCAAAGTTATTGCCGTTCATTTCACTCAATGATGACGTAACAAGCTTTACAGCGGAGAGGGGACAGGGGCGATAATAGCATCATCTAGCATAAAACCGTATCTGTAACACATTCCACATGATTTCCTCGAGAGAGTGTGTAACCTTGAAGGGATTAAATGGTTAGATCTTCATTTCAAAACTGATAAAAAACATTATATCATTTAAATATATGTTGAAATTGTGTGCTTTCTGTTAATCATGATATTTTGAAGTTTGCATAACCGTTTTATCAACAACGTCAAAAAATTGAAATAAAACAGGAGCGGCCCAACACTAATTCATATCATTATCGCGCGGAGAGTGTAAACAATGTCTTTGCGCATGCAATTTTAGATTCAGATTAATTCAAATTAATTTATTTCGCTCTTTCACGCGTATAGCGAGAAACAAGAGGTCATTTTACAAAGAAAGAAATTAGACATGGCTGGTAAATTTAAATTTGACTAATTACATAATTATACCAAGTAAGGAGGCCCCGAAAGGTCACGTGATGACACAACAGCGAGTGTCGACTAGTGTTAGTTTGCAGCTGATAATCTTATCAATTTCTCTCAGAGAGTATTATAACTTTGTGAACAGTCTAATTTAAGTATTACAATGCTTGCACGTGTGAAAAATAAAAAATCAAACCATTTAGTCTCTTTATCTCGTTTAATCTCGAAACGATGGCGTACAACTTTGATTAGTTACATAGTGTGTGTACAGCTACAGTGTAACTATGGTGATAGACAAGGATGCGCGATTTGACACGTTTTGTGTTTATTGGATTTTTAACACACTCATAATTGAATTCGTGAAGCGTTAAGCCCAATAGTAAGTAGTGATATTACATGTTTTAAATCCACACAAAAATTTATACACATATGTATATGTTATCTCATAAAAGTATATTATTAAAAACCAAAATCAAGTCACATTAGAGTTGCATTGTATAGCACGTGTTTGCGCGCGGCCAACATGACGACGATAATAATTCTGATGTGTTTTGTAAAACTGTACACGTAATCGAGCTGAATTGTGATTTTAAATTGTACATCCCAAAATCCGACAAACAAATTTCAAAAAGGGGAAATTTATTCCAGTACATATTAACTGTGATGTTGATAACACGTTAAAACTCAATTATCGGAATGTTTCTATGTCAAGATGTGATACACAAATATTCACGATAAAATTTATATCATAATAGACATTTGCTGGATTTAATTTACGTTTTAGATTTGAAATCTTAAAAGCAAACAAAAAAAAGAAAGAAAAATATCCTGACCACAAACCTATACTACAGGAGTATTTTTATATCAATGCATTACCGATTAACGATGTTAAAAACGAGTCTGGGCCTTTTTGTTGTGTTTCGCTATTGTTTGTTAATACATGTTATGTTAAACCAAGCTATGATATTTCTATCTACGAAAACTTCTGAAAAGTAGCTTGACGTCATTTTCTATATATATAACTGCCAAATCAGTTTAAGACATTCCTCTGTTTTTTCCCTTGGGATATTTTTATAAGATCTTTCAATTCACAATGTAGAAAAATGTTACAAATGTATATAGAAACAATAAAAGTGTTTTTATAATCCAATAAACGACAGACTAATGACGAGTAGACGTGAAATGTGCCACATTGGGTTGTATTTCAATGCTTATGTACACGTGTACCAGAAAGCCCATATCGTCTCTCACTAACATCTATATAACGGATATTCTAGTGAACTGGAAGGAATTTATAGTAAAAAAAATATCTACCATTAATGTCAGAAGATTTTAGAAAAATGATTTCTGAATACTTTAGAAATGTGTTTTAAAGGGAAACCACTATGCATTCTAAAAGTATCAAACACATCAATCTTTCATTTTTTCTATCAATTTATTTGTTCTTATTTATTCGAAAACGTTCACTATAGATGGCAGTGCGGTATGCACTTCCTTACAACCCTCACATGAATACATGAACAATGAAAATAGCAATTTCACGAACTTCGACATGACTTTTGGAGTAATTATAATGCAACATAAGCCGATTGGTTGATTAATATAGTGACTCATTCTGAAAGGCAGATTACAATACTGAAATATGTCGTGATTGGTTGATTAAGAAAAGCGAATCATTCTGACTGACTGATTTTACAATGTGAATAACACATTTACTGATTGGTCGAGTGATGATGCCAAAGATAGTAGCTGATTGATTGATTTTGGCGGTTAAATGCACGCTGACTGATATATCTATGGATACTTGTTTGTCTGGACCACACGTAAACGACACAAGGTGTCGTTCATATAGTGTATGGCTTCTGTTGTTCAAATAGATATTAAATGCGAATATCCATAATCAAACCCTGAAAGTTTCATTTTAAAAATAAGTAAAAAGTCTTACCTTCTGTTATGGAATGTTGATTGGGAGTGTCTATGTATATTTCATCACCAGACAGTTCGGACCATGTAGGTCTCAGAACCTGAAATTACAATATTTTAGCTATAAGCTGATAATCAGTACAAAGAAACAATCCAGAAAAGATTTGTAAAAGTGAAATCAAAATTCTTAGACATTTAAAGCATATTACATATAATGACACGGTAGCATTGAAACGAAATGTCTTGATAATTTCAAAAACTTATCTTGTAAACACGTTGCAGCCTAGTTTTGATGCTCTCAAAGCTTAAAACGCAAAGCTTTTTCACGAAACAAATTCTGTACACCTTCGTTTTCACAACTATAACAATCTCCATAATGCATTTGAATCGAAAAATGTTCGGACTCCTCTGTCACATCGTAAGAAGAATATTGAACCGACGTCCGTGACATTTAATTCACTCTGTGACGGAAATTGCCGAATGGTATCCGACGGAATGGATTATAACACAAAACATCTATTATGAAACCATTCGTTCAAAACAAACCATTAAGTAACAAATAATTTCGAAAAGATCCCTACCTTTTACAAGTTTAAGATATTCATAATGAAAATAAAATGCGAATTTTAACATTGAATCTAGCATAAAACAAAACTGCTACGAACGTTATTTAATTTTTTGAAACATTTTTAAGATACCGTCTACATCCCTTATGTAATTAGTTTATGAATCCTTAAATCAAGAGTCAAAAAGCTTTCTTTAAAGTCGGATATGGTAACAATAAAACATTAGCACTGTAAAGTACGCCAAACATAAGTATAAAATATTGTATTATATACATAAAAATAATGTTCATTTCTTATGTAAGGAAGAAGTATCACAGACGTATAGAGTTATCTAGGATTTACATGAATAATAATGGGCACTAGTATATCACACAAATGTCTCAAAAAGTTACAACATTATCAAAGTGTGATGAATATATATATGCTAATATAGCAAATTATAAAAATTGACATAACATACACTTATATAATGTGCATTTAAAGTAGATCATCAGGTCAGAAGAAATTTTTAAAAAATGAAAATAACAATAAGATGATTCAAGATATCACCTCGACATTTGAAGGCTTAAGTTAGAAATACATTTTCTTACTGTAATTATGAAAATTCAATACTGACAGTTATATCTCAGTAAGGGAGATTTGCTCTACCTGCAGTTTTATTAGTATTAGGTGTAGACGAGCGGGAACAGACTGATTAAAACGGATGATATCCACGGGTAATATATATACTCAACAGCCAACGAATACACAAAGATAATAAATAAAATTAAAATGTAATTAATACTTCTTAACTCAGAAAACATTTTACTGCTGTAAAGGTCTCTTTTAAATATCAATTGGGCAAATCAAACTGATATTTGATCGGGCACTTGTAATCTCTGTTCTACGTCCCTGATTTGATCCTAATTTTTTTTCTTTAAAACTTTCTAAGTTTGTTTGTTTACGTATCAAATAAATCTGAAACAGTTGAATAATCTGGGGATACTTTGGAACTTTCTTTTCTAAAAAAACAGACGCATTGTCGCCAACTCTTAGTACGTCCGCACTTAACTGACGTTAGAATCGACACCAGTCATCAGTATGCGGTACTACTATCGACAGGGGTTTTGTTTGTACAGTAATTTAAACAATTTCCAGAGGTGAGCTCTTTGATCTCGTAAGGCGTAGTATGGCGGAAAAGTAATCCCGACGTAGTGCCGGTTGTAACGAACATTCAAACAATTAAAGAAAATCACATATTTATTGCAAAATATAAAAACTGTTTGGGCGGACAGTCTACAAGTAGGTTAATCAAGCTATATCGTTATTTTTTTCTTTTTTTTTTTTCATGAAAATTATAACAAAGCATATAATTTAGGCCAGCAATAAAAAAATTCAGAAAAAAACTTTATTACAAGTTGATTGTACATTATTTTTTCTCAGGGTTTTCCATGGAATCCTTAGATTTCGTAACAGTCCTGTGAGAGAACTCATAAGTTAATAGAGTAAAAACTTTATTAATTTTTGATCAATTTAAGGAGTCAACATGAAATTTTAGGGGGTCAGAGAAAACCTTGTTTTCTTGATGTTGCGTTCAAAATGATCCGTTTCCGGATTAACGAATTTTGATTCAAGGATGGTCGACCAATTTCGCCATAGAATATAATCTATTCTTCATCGCCTCGTAAATTTTTTTATATTATCTATGGAATCATCATCAGTACACAGAGCAATATCTCTTGAAAATGGAATTTTTTTTCCGCATCGTAAATTTGTCACATCAGTGTACATGGCGCCTACTGATAAGTGTAGAGACCCACCCATTCCGATACACGAACATGTAACATAGAAGAGTCTCTCAGACATTGTAACATAAGATTCCAAAAGAATTTCGCTTCATGTCAAAATGTTGCATTCTATATGCATCGGTAGGAAACGTATCCATTTAGGCCAAGTCAAAACATTATGATATTTATAGGGTTTCGGCTGAAGATTAACTTCCCTAACCTAGATAACCATAGCGCTGCAGTAATTACGTGTAACTCTGTATTTATTGGTAAGTTCGATACATCAAATGACAATTACATTTCAGTGCAATACGTCAAAATGGTAATTACAGCAGTGGACCACGTCAACTGGTAATTACATTTCAGCGGAATACATCAACTGGTAATTACATTTCAGCGGAATATATCAACTGGTAATTACATTTCAGCGGAATACATCAACTGGTAATTACATTTCAGCGGAATACATCAACTGGTAATTACATTTCAGCGGAATACATCAACTGGTAATTACATTTCAGCGGAATACATCAACTGGAATTAAATTTCAGCGGAATATGTCAACTGGTAATTACATTTCAGCGGAATATATCAACTGGTAATTACATTTCAGCGGAATATATCAACTGGTAATTACATTTCAACGGAATATATCAACTGGTAATTACATTTCAATGGGATATATCAAAATGGTAATTACAACAGTGGACCACATCTACTGGTAATTAAATGTTAGTAGAACAGTAAATGGTAAGTACATGCTAGTGGAACAGGTGGACAAACTTCACTGGTGATAACTTGTAAGTACGAAACATTAATTGTAATTACAACATGGCAGTCGCAGTTCTTTTTGTGTGCTGACAAATGTTGTTATCCGTGATAATGTAAATCAAGTTTGTCTTTCGACAATAGATGGTCTTTTGTTAGGACTATTTGGATTGTACAGCCTCGAGAATCCAGTAACCGAGACATGGTCCTGGTCAAATGAAGGACAGAAGCAGTTCGAACTCCATTGATCCGAATTATTCTGATGTTTTTCGATTTTCTTATATCAGTCTAGTGTCGATATAAGACAAATGGAAGGAAATTAATAGAATGTCGAATTGAATTTTGGATATAATTCTCTATACTTATAAATATGGTTTTCTTATTACATATTAACATAAACATTCATTCTGAGATCCTTTCATTTAATATTCAAAATCACTGTATTTGCTTTTAAAATCTAGAATGAATACTTGAATGTTAGTTACAATTGATAAGAGTTGTAATAGTCAATGTTGATCAAAATACATTTCACAAATACAAATTTGTTTGATATTTTATGAACTATTCATTTCGAATAACAAAGCTTTAATTTCCCGTGGCCTGTAGGAAAGTTCCTAAAACAGCGCCGACAATACATCTTACTACCATCGATATCAAAATATCAATTCATCGTGTACAACGTCTGTCTGACAAGCAAACTGACACACTGAATTACTTAACAGAGGGACGTAGCACTTTTAACGGTGTATTCGACTCAAGATCCAGAATAAAAAAAGACCGAAAAACATCTCGAAAAGAAAGCGATACTCTGTCAAAATTACTCAGACGGCGTCTGTGTCACAATGAACGTGAGAAGATGCACACGTGAGCAATGCAGTTTTACATATTGGTTAGGAATGGCCACAATGAAAACCGAACTACATGTCTACGGATTTAGAAAAAAAACTTAAAATTTAGTATACGGTGTGGTGTTCTATAATTAACGATAAAAAAAATGAAAAATGAACGTGATATAGAATGTTCAGCTCCTTATTGTTATGGGTGGCGATATGTCATGGTTTACAGCAGTATTGAATACGGAAATATTACAGAAAACGAAAGCTGCATTACATCCACGAAGCGTGTCTACTTAATCTCAAAGCAAGACTGGTTGGAAATTTCTTGCGATTCAATCAATTAAGATCATTTTGATATTACAACCAATGAAAGAGCAATACCATTTTCACTGCTTCAAATAAAGACTCGAACCCGGGACGGCAGTGTTACGCCCATTGTTGCTCCCTAAACGGACTTATTATCACTATATCGCAAACAACATGTCCAGTATATCGCCAACTACAGGTCCGTACAAGGAGATATTATTTACACCCAGTGCGTGTAAAGAACTTTCACCAACATCATGACTCTAGATTCGGCAACGCTGGAAGTGGGCTTTTTTTGTGATCTGTGTAAGAACTAATACATGTTCATGTGCAAAATAGGAATGACGCATATTTCACTCAAGAGCTTCCATATGGTTTTGAACCCATGACCACACATTAGATAACACATGTTGTTCCCTTAAGTTACATGTACATCATTAGCGACAGTAATACATCGGTTACTGTCAGTAAAGTTATTTTTTTTATTTTCTCAACAATTTTCTTTACATTTTCTGTTACGTCTTTTCAATCCCTGTAATCGACAGATTTTTATCATTTTTTTTCGTTCATACAGTGACAGTTTAAAGAAATGTCTGTTTAGGTGGTTTCTACACTGAGATATATATATGTATTGCTTTAAACAAGCTTGTTGTTAGGAACTAAGAGGTTCGTTACTGCAGAGATAATTCTTAGATATTATCGCGATCGTAATCAGCGAAATCATATATTGCAGATCTGTGGTGTACATGCATCCACCGGCACGTGACTTACGAGTTACAAAAAGCGGGACACGACACGGGGGATCGCTGTACACCGACTGGTACACACAATATAGTTGTCTTACACTATGATAGTTTAC